TGCAGGAACAGCCGCTGATAACAGCGGCCACACTGGGAGTGGCCGAGGAGCGCAGGGGACTGACTTGAGCTCGGGCCATAGTCAGTGGTGCAAGAACGGAGCAGACTTTGGCCCAACCTCCCTTCCGCAGGCCGAGCAATGCACCATGGGAGACGGAGGGCTCTACAGGCGGCTTCGCTCCCCATCGGATTTCTTCTGGAAACTTCTGCTCGCACTTTTGTTAACGTCTCTGCTTTCCTCTGCCTGATTTCTCATCCTATTTTTATGTATGTTAGTTTGTTTATGTATTTTTAGGCGAGGCAACCCTTGGTTGACCTCATAGATTGCAAGGACCTTGTCAGCTTGCAATCCCTTATTTTTTTATTTTTTATGCCTACAGCACCTGGCCTTCCTAGGTGGTCTCCCATCCAAGTACTAACCGGGCCCAACCCTGCTTGGCTTCCGAGGTCAAACGGGATCGGTCTTGTTCGGGATGACATGGCCATAGACTATGTTAGTTTAAAATTTTTTTCAATTACAGTTGACATTCAATATTATATTTGTGATGAGACATTGATATGCCTCACGAAGCGATCACTTTAAGTCTAATACCCATCTGACACTGTATGTGGTTTATTATTAAAAAAAAACTCGGGACAGCTCCATAGCGTAGTGGTTAGCACGTCTGCTTTACACGCAGAAGGTCCTGGGTTCACACCCCAGGTGGAGCCGTGGACCATACCCCGGGTGTGCCAGTCTCCCCAAGTGCACCGGGGGGCACCTGGCCCCGGGTGGGTGCATGCCACGAGCGTGTGGGAGGAGACGCCCCGCCTTCAGAACTCCAATTGTTAAGGGGAAACGGCAAAATCTATAGGTCAAGGGTGGAAGTTGCGGGGGTAGGGAATTAAAGAGGGGGAAGAAAACTCGTACAAGACGTTTAAGAAATGATGAAATGAAGCGTTTTTTTTGAATAGGTTATATTCTATACACATAGTACAAAACCCAAGGCTACGAATGGGAATTGAGAAAAGCGAGCCTCCCGCCTCACTCCCCTCCTGGACAGCATCAGCATCAGCATCACTTCTGTAGATGCCTCCTGGATGCACCAGGTGAATAACGGCATAGGCCAATATTTTGTCCACAAATGGCAGCCTATGCGGGCAGTTCAGTAGTTTTTCTCACATAAAACATTCTCTTGGTGATTATTCAACCTCGGCCCACACAGAGCGGCCTCGCTCTTTCTAAAGATGGTCTACCTGCAGCTGTTTAACCAAGTCCGTACTGATGGACACCTAGGTTGTTCCCAGCCTGGGCCATTACAGCCAACAGGACCCTGAACATGTGGCTCACGTGTGGAGAATCAACGCCTCGGGGTGAAGCGGCTACGGCATTTTAAATGGGAGATCCTGGGTGGATCTCGCCCGTAGGACGGAGGGAAAAGAAGAAGCAGGGTTGAATCAGCCACCGGAAGAACAGAGGCCAGCGACCTCTGTGCTGGCACCGTGCCCTGGCTGAGTGCGCCAGGGCCCAGGAGTCTCGCTGCCAGGGTTTAAATCCCAGCTCTGCCTCTTTCTAGGCAGGTCAGCCAGGGGCATGTTGCATGTATTCTTAAAACGTCCAAGGCTTCAGCTGACAGAGGCAACAGCACCTGCCCCGTCCGCTTCCTGTGAAGTGCGTTGAGCACTTGGTAAATGGTCAAAATTCTTACTGACGCTCAATATTCTGATGGAGCGTCGTCCCCAATTCAAGGACATTACCCTCAGTTAATTGCACTAAAGGGACCTATATATTTAAAGACCACGTGGCCATCAGCTGATGAAGGATAAATAAAACCCAGTGTAGCCACATAATGGGATATCTGGCCATAAAAAAAGCACTGATACATGCTTCCGACATGGATGAACCCTGAAAACCTTATGCGAAGGAAGGTGGACACGAAGATCACGTGTTGTATGATTCCTTTTGTATGAAATGTCCAGAACAGGCAAATCCATAGAGACAGAAATCGGATTAGTGGCTGCCGGGGGCTGGGAGCTGGGAGCAATGTCTGGCTACAGGATTTCTTTTTGGAGAGATGACAATGTTCTAACGTCGGCCATGGTGGTGGCTGCGTAACTCTGTGTACTAACGCCCACCGAACTGTGTACTTTAAATGGGCGAACTGTATGCGACGTAAATTCTACCGCTATAAGGCTGCTATCTAGAAAATGGAAGAGTTCAAAAAAGATAATGGGGAGTTGATTAAAAAAAAAAACCACTAAAAGACTATGTGGAGAATTCCAGAAAAAAGTATACATGTGAGACAGAAGGGAGGGTGAATGCCCCCCTCTCTGGCGGAGGGGAGACAGGGGGTGGGAGACTCTCTTCGCCAGGGAAGAAGGTACACTGGTGTCCGTTTAGTTATAATTTTTGTTGTTGTTGTTGTTGTTAAGAAGCTTTATTGACAGATCATTTACAGACCATAAAGTCCAGGCACGATCATATATAATTCAGCGGTTTTTAGAATATTCACAAGGTTTGTACAACCATCATCATAATATAATTTTAGAATATTTTTATCACGCCAAAGAAGCCTTGTCACTCCCTGTCCCCTTCTCCCCCCGACCCAGGCAACCATTAATCTACTTCCAGTCTCCATGGATTTGCTTTTCCTGGACTTTTCATACACGTGGAATCCTACGATACGTGACCTTCGGTGCCTGGCTCCTCCCACTCAAAATAACATTTTCAAGGTTGACTCGTGTTGTTGCACGTGTCAGTGTACTTCACTCTTCTTACGGCCAAATGCCACTCCCTTTTACAGACATATCACATTCTGTTTTTCTGCCCTAATTCTCCAAAGCACGTACAATTTGTACCTGCGTGTCAATAGACAGTGATGTTTACAATTTATTCAGATGGAGGCTCAAGGAAAGGGCTCCACGCTAAGGCTTTTGTAAGAGAAGGATGTAAGGGGGCAGTTGTTTGGGACGGAAGAGACCTTACTGCTGAGCCTCGGTGCCTCGGTTTTCACCGCTGTGAAATGGGATGAAGGGAGGACTTGTCGTTGGAACCTGTACAGACCTCGGCTCGGGGCCAGCACACAGCACGTGCCCAGGTGTCAGAGCTCCTAGGGCTGCTTCTGTCAGACCCATGCTCAAATGGCTTCGCTCCCAACTGACATATCTTAGATTAGCTTAACAATGCTATTCCGGGTTCAAAATATTTTTGATGGGGGGGTAGATGTAACAAGAATGGCATTGGGGGAATGAGTGGAAAAGGTTAAAAGATTAAGAAATACAAATTGGCAGTTACAAAATAGCACAGGGAGTATGGTCAGCTATACTATGTGATTATAGTGGATGGTGCCAGGTGGGTGCTAGCCTCATCGGGGTGACCGCTTCATAAGTTATAGAAATGTCTCACCGCTATGCTGTAGACCTGACACTAATATGATATTGTATGTCAACAGCAATTGAAAAAAAAAAATTTTTTTTTTTTGAAATGGAAGAAAGTTGATCCACAGGAGTGCCGGGTGATGGGTGTAGGGCTCATTACGCCATTCTTTCTCCCTTCGCGTATGTCGGACAATTTTCAGAATGAAAAGTTAAAACAAGGGAGATTCGGGTGAACAAACTGAGGAGGTCTGCAGCCACGGCCATGGGAGGGGACAGAGGGACTCAAACTTGGGATCGCCCCTCCCCTCGCGGCAGAGGGGCCTGGACACCCAACCCCAGAGGGCTTCCCGCCCGAGGGAAGTCAGGGAAGCAGGGAAGGGCCAGGTTCCTGCGGTTCAGAGGGACACAGTGAGATGCAAAGGTCACCTGACCTCGAACACACGTGGAGTTCACGAGTGAATTACAAAGGGGAAGAGGAGGGCGGAGACCCGCTGAGCTCCCATCAAACATCGAAGGGATGGGACAAGCTGGCACCACGAGCCCTTCTGCAGAATTCTAGCTACAATTCTTTGCTCTCATCCCTCTGCCCTGAGGGACACTGCAAAAGACAACTGCCAGTCAAAGCCACAGTGAGATAGGACTTCAGCCCCCCTAGGCAAAGAACAAGGGTCAGCGAAGATGTGGAGGGTCTGGAACCCCACACGCGGCTGGGGGGGAACGTAAACGGGGCGGCCACACGGCGGGTCCTGTTGGAGCTACCGGGGGATCCAGCAACTCCACTGCTAGGTCTACCCCCCAAAACGGTGAAAACGTGTTCACACAAGAACTTGCACGTGCATGCGCATAGCAGCAGCACGTTGTTGGGAGCCAAAACTAAGAACAAAGAATCTTGTGACTAGGCGAGGCCTTATCTGCATCCTGCATCTTGTTAGCCCCCTAGCAGTCAGCCCAGCCCAGAGTTACAGTTCCCTCCTTCACTCCCACTCCCTCTAACCCTTACCACTCCTCACCCCACCAGCTAAGAACCAATGCGCCTGTGACAGATACTCTCCCGTCCAGCTAGCCCTGCCCCCCTTTGTTAGCCCTGTATAAATACTCTTGCTGCTCAATAAAATTTTGAGGCTTGATCAGAATACTGTCTTGCCTCCATTCTTTTCTCCCGCCCATGTTTTCTTTCAGGTAAGGTCCTCCTCGGGTTCCGCGCAATAACTAGGTCCTGCGGGTCGGGACAGCACGTGAAGTGGCAACAACCTGGCCGTCTGCCAGCGGATGGATAAACAGCCGAGAGGGAACCAAGCACTGACACAGCCGCGCCACACACGCCAGGAGAGACGCCAGGTGCAAAAGGCCACAGTACGATTCCGTTTACTTGAAACGTCCAGACCAGGTGCCTCCAGAGACGGGAAGTAGGTTACGAGTTGCCAGGGGTGGGGGGATGGGGTGTCACACTAATGGGTATGGGGTTTCTTTTTGGGGTGATAAAAATGTTCTACCATTGATTATGATGAGGGTTGCAGAACTCTCTGAATATACTAACCACCACTGAGTTAGTGTCAGTCAAAATCATAAAAGCTCCCCGAACCCCGCAAAAAGTGAGGG